TCTCAAAATTCTCCTTGTACATGTGCTGTCTCCAAATATTCATACCTGAAGATGTGTCACATTGATACTTTATAAAAACCTCAGAATTTTTGTTAGTTGGGGATTTGCACATTACAAAGTTTTTTTCCATTCTGATCTAGAATAAAACCCAAATATTAGTTATCTACTGTAACAATAAACTTAAAATAAATATTTCAAAGGGACATGATTTCTCTCCTCAATTTTATATTTTGATTCAGTTTCATGACCTGTCAGTAGCACATGTGCATAGCATATGATCTAACACAGCTGAAATATTTTATTTAATTATTTAAAAATAGAACAAAGGCAGCTGCTAGTTACTACTGATCAAAATATTTTTTATAGATCAGAATGCCTCTGTTTGTGTTGTAATGCAATAGTTTGACATGGATAAACATATTGCAACAGTGACATATTACACCATAGACTGGAGACACTTTGATGTAGGAAAGCAATGTTAGTCAGTAATAAGTAGCATCTACCCATAGCTATTCTGATAATTCAGTTTTGCCCTATAGCATTAGGTAGAAGCAGTATGTGAATACCAACAGGTTATAAAATACTGCAAATATATTCCTTCCTCCCTAAAGCAAAACTCTCCCATGTTTTTGTAGCATATAATGTATTTTATTGGCAACTCAGAAAATAAGTAAGACAGTTCAGGAAAAACATCTTAGAAAATATTGAACACTTCTGTCATATAGGCCTGGTTATGACTGACAGAGGGAACAACTAGATACCCTTGGCCATATACAGTAATTCGTCTTTAACTATAAGAAGCTTAACAATTCCTTTACTGTACTTTTTTCCTCTTTTTTTTCCTCCTTTTTGAAAGGAGAAAAGGATTTACGAGTATTGACTGAAAGAGAAGAAAAATGTTGAAGCTGGTCTTGATGGCAGAGAAAGCAGGTAAGGAAGTCTGTCTAACCATCTTGGGAGAAAAGAAAACAAGACTTCCTTTTTAATGAGTTTACATTCTTTAGATCTCAAAGCATGGAAATGGCAAACAATTTGTAAAGTTACACAGTTTCCAGACTACGAGGACAGAAAGACAGGAACCTACAGCAGGGTACCCCTATCTGGTAGGAAAAGCTGAGAAAAAGAAACCAGTTTTAGGCAGAAACTGAATAAGAGCTGACACTGAACACTTTCTCCCAAGACTTGGCTCAAGATAAAATGCAACATAGATGGATAAGCTGGTAATTTATCTAAGTCCAGAAACCTCAGAGCTAGGTATCAAATCTCTCTTTACAGCAAGAAACATCCCAAAAGAAGTAAGTGACCCTAGCTCTCCTAGCTGGAGAGCACCAACCCAGCCTGCCAATCAGACTGAGTTAGCACTCGCTCAATATAAGTAATTCAATATCGCAAGACTGAGGATCAGTTAGTTTCTGCTGCACTAACAATCCTACAGCCTTTCTTTTGTTCCACACTTGAAAGCAACACCCCCAAAAAATTTCACTTAATCACATGCCCTCTCAAGGCCAAGTGGATCATGCTTTAAAAAAAAAAAAAATTACCTGCTTTGGTGAACTTGAAATAAACACAATTTCCTCAGCCTGCAGGACAAAGTCTGATCATACCTCAGATTCAGAGAAGGTATGAAGCTTCAACTACTACAAACAAGAGGATAGACTATTCCTTTCTCACCCCTGAGCTTCTCCACTACCTCCGCTGAACAATGCAGAGTATGAGGAACTTATACACCAAAATGAGAAGAAAATATCCCAGAACCATGTCAATTTGGTCTTCACATCAGAATCTTTTATGCTTAACCCTCCCATCCACATTCTCATCTAGAGCCCTTGTTCTATATCCAAGATAATTATTTTTTTGTTTCAAGTATCTCCTGGGATGTGAGGGGGCACATATGCCAACAGGGGCTATGTTCCAAGCAAAGTTCAAACTTCACATAAACCACCAGCAATATTTTACTAATGAATACATATAAAGACAGTACTTCTAAAAAATATGCATTTGCTGAAGACTTTGTTGCCAGCGGCAGGCTGAAATGATCCTGAAATAGCTGCACTGGCTTGGTAACATGCATTGGAAGCTCCAAGACATGTATAGCTTTTCTAGAATTAAATCTTTGTGTTTTCAGAATCAGAGGCTTTTGGTACTCATCTTTTCACCCCTTCTGTTTAAAAATTTGGATAGTAAATGTAAGGCCAACTGACATGTAACTGCTGTTAGCTAAAATTGTTTGAGAAAACAAGGCTCATTTACCAAAAGGTGAACAATTTTAAAAGTCATTTGAAAGCCACCTCATTATTTTTCTTTTGTCTGTTTGTTTTTTAAACCAGGATTTTTATGGTTGTTTTAAGCTGCACAAAACCTAGGAGAGGACAGTCACAGATGCCAGAGGAAGTCCAGATTTAAAGGGAAAAAACACACCCAGTTCACTATGAAAGACAGAGGAGGTAAAATGAAGAGGAAGTAGCTCTGAGATTTGATTAATAAGATTCCAGAAAGAGCAGTTGAAATTTCGCACAAGAGGCATTCACGCAGGAATGTCTATGAGGAACTGAAAAATCAAGCTGAAGTACATAACCAGTATATTCAGAAAGCTTCAAGGTGAAAATAAATGACAATGTGACAATGACTTAAGAAACAAGCAAAAGCAAGCAGAGTCAATCACTTACTTTCTCAAGGTGATCACAGACTAAAATGTGCTGCTACTTTAAGGGGGAGAGACAGAGGAGAGTGGGATAAATAAGAAAAAAGCAAGTGAGTTTAGAAGACAAGATTAAGTGAAATCTGAGGAATGTGCAGAGAAGGACAGCAGTTGAAAACTTTCTGCATCTTTGGTGGAGGAAAAGCAGAAAGTTGGAGGTACAGGGGAAGAGTCAAGACCAATTTTCACAGAAAAGGCAACAATGAAAATGCAATAGGAAAGTGACTTGAGGAGTGGATCAATGTTTGCAGAAAAATAGTTAGGTTTTTATGAAAAGGATTCAGTTGAAATAGTAACATAGATCTGTTTAACACAGAGGAAGACAACACTTCTTGGAAGGGAGAATGAACATGTCCTGAAACAGCCACTCCTATGAATATTGCCAGTCATGCTGCGTGGTGTGAAAACAGGAGTAGAGGAAAGCGCACACTAGGTCAAGCCAAGGCTTTGATACTTTTCAAGAAAAGCAGATGCTTAAGGAAACCGAGAATTTTATTTCTACCTCATGCAAAACACCAACATTAAATAGCGTTATGACACTCAGGTGCAGCTATGGAATATGCCACTTGCAACACTTACATAGACTAGCTCAGCTGAGTATTGGAAACTCTTCTTAATAGAATGACCAAACAACACGAAAGAATTAAAGATTTGTACCCATTATTATTTTATGTGCTAATATTCTCACTAAAAAACATTTTTAAATTGTTATAAAGAGACAATAATAAAAGTAATAAAAGTATAAGCAAAATTGCACTTACAAGATGTTAAAGTCTTTTTCTAGAGTAATACAATTTCTAATCCAACCTTTCTCATTTTTTCCATCCTCAGGTTCATATGGAAATTCAGTCTTTAAAAAATTAGTCTCAATTTGTATATTTAAATAAATACTGATTTAAAAAACATGGAGTTTTAGCTAGATTATAATACATTTAATAAGATACAATAAATACTTAAAATCTACTTACTAGCAATTTGGATTTTTTTTTTTTTTTTTAATACAAGCTATACGAAATGTATATCCAGCAGAAATCTCAATTTTATTGAGCTTGGTTTTTTAAGTTTCAGGTTAACACTTATTTTGGAGGACTATCATCAGAATAGATATGAGAGTAGTTCTCACCATTTTAGACAGCTGAGTAACGGTTAAAGACATATAAAGGCTATAGCACAGCAAATTTCAAGGTAATAATGGAAAGCACAGGTTAAAAGAGCTGAGAGTACAGAACCCAGTTTGGTATGGTTGATAAAAAAACTCTGTACCCAGAAAGATGGTGAAAAAGGCACAAGACCTTAGACCAAGAAAAAAAATATTTTTCCACATGTAATATATAAATGGGGAGGGGAGCAAATGAGTCGTGACATCAGAAAAGTACATATATAAGCATTAGCATAGGAAGTGCCATACACAGCTAAATTCCTTCTCTATCAGTTCCAGTGTCCTGACTTCTTAGAGTTTGGGAATCATTTCTAGCTCAATATTTCCTTTGTATATGGCTTACTATTAGCTTCAGTCTTCAAAGTCAGCAAGAACGCATGTGAGCAAGAATGTGTACCTATTTTTAAACTTAGCCAATGAAAGATTGAGAGGAGTGTGCAAGTCGATCAGGAGTTTTATTCCTTGAAATGCTGCCACATCCTTTCACTATTCAGTATCAGCTAAGTATTAGAAATGGTTTCATCTCCAATGCTACACCTGGTAGAACAAACACAGTTTAGTAGTACAAATAATCAAAACTTTCCCAGCATTTAACAACATCTTATAGCTTTGGCTCCTCCTAACAATTTGAAATCCAAATTAAGATAATTTTTTTTTAAAGAAACCTGAAACAACTGTAGAGAGTAAGCTTGATACAGTGGTTGTTTCAGAACCCTGTATACCAGGTTCTGGTATTAACTTTGAATAAGATGTTGAACTTAACAATTGGACTCCAGTTGCACTACACATTTTCTGAACTGAGTGACTGCAGCAGGAGACCCAACTGTGCAATTTACTGATACACAAAACCAAGTTTCGGAAATGCCAGTTAGATAATATTATGATTGTGCACTTATTATAAACATATACACATTTCACCTTATCTTCCTACAGTAGAGATGATTATCTTAAGATGGGAAAACAGAAGTTTTACATAACTGACAACTCATTCATTAGCAAAAAGTGTATAGCAATACTCAAAAGCTGATTTTTGTTTAAACACCAAGCAAGCATGGACATATGAATATTCCTAACCTGTAAAATGATTCCTCCACATTATATCAGCGAAACTCATTGGTGGGCCACTGGGAGGGTAGTGTTTACCTTTCAGAGGCTCATGATCAGTCCTTATCATATCCATTAAGGAATTTTCCAAAGAGTGCAAGTTAAAAGTGTCATAGGGCCTATTCCGGTCCTAGAAGGGAAAAAAAAAAAAAAGAAAAAGAAAAAAAAAAAAAGACTGTTATAGAAAAAAAATTAATTTTCTAACACAGGCTCATTTCTTATTTTATAAAACTCCAGCATCCAATTCTACATTTCTTCTTGATAGAACTTTTTATATTACAAAAAAATTGATAAATATAAGCCTACAGTTGTTGAATGATACCTTGCATTTTGCAACTGCTGCTTTCACCAGTACAGCTATGCAGAGAGGCTTTTTAATACTTCTAAAAATATATATACAAACAATAGTTAATTCTAAAAATTATCATTTAAATAAGAACTTAGAAATAAAGCAATGTTAATGTTTACACTGGAGAAGTGAAATTGTTTGAGAGTTCGGAGATTTTTGTTCTATAGCTTCATCATCTGCCTTCTGTCACAGTGCTACCTTAACATCAGAGCAGAAGCAAGCAATGCTCAAGATGCCAGCAGGCACATTTGTTCCAGAAAATACCTAGTAATTCTTCAAATCTCTAACATGAATCTCACAGGTTTAAGGAAAGCACACTAAATGTAAGACAAAACAAAAAGCAAGATAGGATATGCAACACTTTCAGACGAGGGCACTCAAAAACCTGAGTAAGGGTTGGTTTGTATTGTTTGAACCTCTCATTTTTAATTCACTGTAGTTCAGCTTCTGTTTTTAAAGTAAGTGAAAGGGAAAAAGAAAAAAACAAACAAAGCACAAACAACCTTTAGCAGGCCTATTAAAATAACCAGTTTCAAAGTTCAGGAACAATCTTACAGAGGGAAAAATCCACTCATGCCCATGTATCTGGAGTACTGTACGCAATGGGACAGCATAACAGAATGGTCCCCTTGTTGTAGTCAGTTTCTAAAAAGCATTAATTTTCTTATTCTCATCACTATCATTAAAAAAAGTAGTAAAGCACAAGTATGTAAAAGATAGCAATTTTTCTTTGTACACTGTATTATGCTACAGTTAATAGAGAGAGTGGTATTACATTCTACTGTGCAAACTGAAACCTTCATTGTAATATGCCCCCAAAATTCCTGGAACAATGTTTTCCATATGCTGGTTACTACAAGATAATCTTATTGATTGAAAGAATAAAATTTAAAATCCTCAGACAAGAAGCAGCAGTATCCACAGAAAATGTAACACAAGTTTTGTCTTAATAAGTAGTATTTCTCTTGAACCCTCCTTTTCTTAGGTTGTCTTTAAATAAAACTAAAGGAGAGAGTGAGTTGACTGGTATAATTAAGCTTTCTTTTAATATTCCTGTTCTGGAATTCAAATAAATACACGTTATTAAAAGTTTGCTTTTACAGAAAGCTCTGAAATACAGATCTTCCTACTGCCAAAAATCTCATGTTCCCAGTCTGCCTACTCTGCACTGAAGATCCAACTTCCCTTCTCCAACATGCTAATTTTGTATTTTCTGTAAGTGGACTAGCATTATTTTCTTCACATCTATTGAGCATTTTTGGCAAACATGATGTCCAAATAATAATACTTGATTTCTGTTAGAAGCTATACTAAGCACTAAAGTTCAAATGAGCTCACTGATTTTCAGTCTTCGTTGTTGATGATTTTTGTCTACTACAGCTGCTTAGAATGCCAACATTTGTATACTGTATTTAAAATAGTACTTGTTCACCTATCTAAGTGGATCAATACATATGGAATATGAAATAAAATTTATGCCCATGAAATCTAAAATAGATTGGCGGGGGGGGGGGGGAAAGTGTGGGTGTGGGGGGGACACAGGCTGGGGACGACAAAAACCCACCACCCTGAGGTAATTTTTTTCCCTAACAGAAAACTATTTTGGTTAAAACAACACACTGGTAAAATGTAGTAGGAGAGAAGAGTTCGTTTCATTTCATATTAACTTTCTTAAAAGAAATGCAAGGCTAGATTGAAAAGAAAAAGTGTAACTTAGATGCAAAAAAATTTCTATTCTTGTGATATTAGTAACTTGATTAAATAGGATCTATATTATTCCCTCAAAGCAAGAATTTTAGTCATCTTTTTCTATTTGTTTCTTTTAAATACCTTTTAAATATCTGTACTGTGAATACGTAAGGAGGTCAGGTGTTACAGTACTGAACTATAGCATCTTTTTGAAGAGAAAATTTGAAAGCAAATATGCAGCTTATATCTTAAATAGGGGTGGGGAAGTATTTTTCAGTCAGATCAGTCCCCTGATCTGGTTTACTATACAGCTGTAGCAGAGATGAGCTGGCAAAACCAACACTGGCAGGAGAGCAAAAGGGCAGGACTGCTGCTTTTGCCACAATGATAGTTTATTCCAGCTTTAAACATTCCTGAGATTACAGTCTTAGAGGCCGGAAGGAATGAGTTCAGAAGAGGACACAGCGTACAAATTGAATTTAATTGTCCTTTATTAACATATGTATGTTATATTAAGTATGCTACTATAGCAGTAAATCCCTGGCAGGTCCTACTTTGTTCTAAAACTTCCCAAGGAGCTGTGCATATGGACGCATGTGAAAAAAGGGGAGAAAAAAAAATCGTAGCGTCAAAGGCAAGGTTATACAGGGCAGGTTTGCTAGAATGTAGATCTTTCTAATCTTTTAAGGGGCGTACAAAGCTGCAATATATTTTCAAGATTAAATTAGACCTACATTGGACACAGGAAGATCAATTTAATCAAAACCCTTTACATAGGCAATTACAACCCTTCCCACTACAGCACTTGAGCAAGGTAAATCAAGCAAAGGAGATTTAGACATAACAGATTTTTATGAATATGTTGTGGCACGTGCATAAGTATAACGCATGCTGACTACAGATTTTGTAGTGTGGGTGATGAACAAGTCAGCGTTAACATTCTAGCTCCTAAGTAAAAGGGCTACTACCATTTTTCTTAGTAGCTTTCATTTCAGTAGTAACTCATTTGTACTCAGCAGATTTGAAGATTTTCCTAAATTCAGCAATTTCTTCCAAGAAGCCTGGTGCTTCTGCACACACACGCACAGGATGATGTTTCCTTATTTCTCAACATGAACAGGTTCTCCTGGTTTTATGAACTGACACTGCTCCATTTCCCAGATTTGTCTTTTGCATTGTTTCCACAGGCTACCGATCTACTGCCAAACAATCTCAACAACGGAAACAATTCATAAAGGTCCTCAGTAGCACATGAGAACTTTGCAAGGAAGTTCTGGGACTAGGACCATGAATGGAAATCAAAATATAAACTACAGAACCATAAAGCAGATTAAAAAACTTGGAAAAGCAGTTTGAAAATCCAGCAAGTCTGGAAAATCTGCTGGGATCTTCTAGAGAAGACGAAGATCCTAAGACCTACTTAGATAAACTACATTATGGATAAAAGAGAAGTCTCCAGCTACAAGGCACTGTCTTTGGCTACACAGCAATCATTAAATCAGCAAAAGATTAAGTCCAGCCTGCCCATGTCAGATTGTACTTTTGCTGTGTACAGACAGCAGCTCCTTCCTTGTTAGCTTCTAGTGTACATGTCAGCATATTTCAGTTCTTACAATACTCTAGTCTTGAAAGAAAGAAAAACAGCTTAGTAATAACAACTCTTAGAGAAGATATGGGTCCCAGCACTTTAAATCCCAGCCCTTGGCTGTTATCTATACGTTCATCCATGACAAAGACTTCCTCAAAGTGTGTATGTTAAGCATAGTGAAAAATTACAAATGCATATGCAGGATCAGATTTTTGAAGAATCACAATGTGAAATGGACTTCCAGTTGAAGTTGGGTCTCAACTTTCTACCTTTAAATATCTCACTTGTAAGGCTGATTAAAAACGTTACAAAATACAGTATCTATAATCTGTCTGTTAATTTAAAAACAAAACCAAAAAACCAGTAACTTTGCCAAAAAATAACTGCAGAGTCAAGACACTAAAATAAAATGAGAAAATACAATTATTTGCATTTTACCTGCATTTTACACTTTTGTGCATAGGTATTATGCTAGCCTTTAATTACACAACCATAATAATTTTTCAGAGGTCTCCAGTCTCCATCCAATATGCATAATGAATCAGCTCCAGGAATGAATCAAAACAGTGCTTTGAAGAGGTCTGTTTATCTCTAGGACAGATGCCTGTATTGCTTATTCCAGGAGATGGCTGAGGTGTAATCAGTGTGTCAGCAAATTCCAGGAGGGGGAAAACACATTCTTAAAGTTAAGGGTTATCTTAATTGTGAAACAAAGATTACTTAGCAGTACCTGAAGTATGTAATTGACATGTATGTGTATCATTTGAAATCAAAAGAACTTTTTTCCTTTGTCATACCCTGTAATGTGGTGTGCTTTGTCCTGCCCCCTTCAGACTCAGAGCGTGGGCATGTAAGGCAAGGCACACCTAGCACTACTTCAGTTCCCTCCCAATAGATACACAAACCATGGCAGGAATCTAACACGTTGCCCAAGCCTAGCTACTGTCCATAATCAAAACCCTTGACCATGTATTTATGCATGTGTTGAATCCTTGTTGGCATGGGCATCTGCATCTGTAGCATAAAATACACATTGAGCTGAGAGATACACCTGCCTATTTTTTAGTATAGAAGCAAAACCTCAGGCACCTAGACCCTTCCAAAGATACATTTCCCTGTGTCTATACAGTTCAGTCCATTTGCTGACTGACTTCCTATTAAACTTCCAAGCTTCCTATATTCTGAACAGTATCTCAGTTTCAGTAATTTATTTCAGTGTTCTACATTTTCATGCTGCCCTAGATTTTCAAGCTTCCTGCACCAGTATGTGGCACAACACAGCCCAACTCTGCCAAGCAACAAGATGGCCTCCACTCACTGAACTATTAACTGTTTCCAGGAGAATACCAAAACTCCAGTTAGGCTCACAGAAGTCTCAGCATTTTTTACTTACTAGATTCTGGG